CCTACACGTCACAGTAACGGTTGCTATTGTGAGAAATAGGTAAAGATGGTCTTATTATCGGGAGATGCCAACCTCCTTGGCTCGACAATTGGAGAAAGCATAATGGTCAACTTGGATCTTGATAACCAATCACATTATAGACTTGACAGAGAATTTCTGTCAGTGTTGTGCAACAGTCAGTCACTGGTTGTGCATATTGCTGAAATGAATAAGGAGTGCCATGAACTAAATCCTACCTGTCTGTCGCAAAACTGTCCATGAATTCTCTAAGACAGCAATTTTTTCAATGTAAACTCAAAAAATAAACAAATCCAAAATTAAAGTTTAATGTAAAAAAAATAATGAGTAGGATATTCTATTATTCCTGATTACAATTCTGACAAACACACACATATCTATGACACAAATACCATTTAGCCTAACAGCTTAGCTTATACAGTACAAATTTGCACTTCCTTATGTATTCATAACACGCCGTAGCGCTTCGGGCATCCCGAGTTCGAGTCCAGGCTCGCGGACCTTTCCGGATCCTGTCCCACTCTTTCTCTTCCACTTCGCTTCCTGTCGTCTCTGCACTGTCCTATCAAATTAAAGGCGAAAACACCAAAAATAAATCTTTAAAAAAAAATGTGTGATGTAATGATGTCACATTATTCATTTATATTATTAATGTTATAATATAATAAATATAATATATCATATAATATATAATGAAAATGTAATTTTGTACGGTGGCCGAGAGAGCTCAACGCGCTGCAACTTCAGAAAACAAGCAAATAGAAAAAGAACCAGCAAATTAAGAAAGCATCTTCATCAGTTTGACAGCACATGTGCTGCAAATACTGGCAACACAACCAAATAAAGAACATGCTGCAAATCCTAACAAGAGTCACAGCACAAATAGGCTAAAGAAACATACCAACCAAATACAGTAACGCGCAAGTAACACAAACCACAACAAAATTACCTCAACAAAATTAAAATTAACTATGTTATATATTTGGGGTGGGGGATCATATTTGACAGTGAGGGAATCGTAATCGTGAACGATTCACTGATCGAGTCTAATAATTCAAACCACTAACTCATGAGTCATGAGCGAGCCGAGGCTGTGTGGTGAACCTTTTTGACTGACTCATCACCCACCGATTCATTTTTTCGCAAAGCGAAAGGAGCAATTTTTAAAAATAGCTCAAACAGTTGGCCTGTCCTAATGATATCTGATAAATCGCATATGACACACACGAAGGTTTCCGGACCTTCTCTGCTGACCTTTGCAAACATTGCTAATAAAGAAAAACATTCGAGTTACAGTTCACCTGTGTGTTGTTTTAAAGGCGCTCTAATAATCTCGAATTTATATCCTCCCACACCTCATATGGCTCCAGAGAAAGAAACATGAACTGCAGTAAACTATTGTCTAGCTTGACACTTGCCGTCTTCACAGCGCAGGGACTGACAGACACTAGATCATGATCCGTCTGTGAGCTTTGATCTCGCGAACGGTCTCTCTCAAACACACAGACGTTCACACAGGTGTGTCGCCTCGAGGTAAGGGAGTATGTGGGCGGGAAGGTCAGAGAGTTCTTAGCTGTCTGTCTCTCTCTTCAGGGCAGCCGAAATCTCCCGTATTCTGTCTTACCTTCTCTTTTTGGGATCTGACGATGTGACTTCTAAGAAAGTGTTACAGTTGCGTAACTTTTTATTCATTTCTGTGAGCGTCTAGCCTATGGGTTTTGCCCTGTGTCTATTAAAACACACGTTTAAAACACTTTTTTCACTTAAAATTAATTGTCCAATAGTGGACATACATGAATCACAAGGGAATTCTGTCATTTATCTTTTTTTTTCTGGAATAAAAATGTTGCACGTTGTCTTGTTAGGTAGCATTCTTGTGCTCTGAATAAAAAGTTTTATTAGACATGACACAATATAACAAAATATTTGGCTCTCAAGTGATATTTACACTACTGTTTAAAAGTTTGTGGTCTGTAGTTTATTTTAAAGAAATTAATACTTTTATTCAGACATTTATAATGTTTCAAAATATTTCTATTTCAAATAAATGTATTAAAATAGAAAACAGCTATTTTAAATTGTAACATTTTATGATAAAATTACAGTTTTTACTGTATTTTTGATCAAATAAATGCAAACTTGGTGGACATAAGTGACTCCTTTCAAAAACATGCTTACTGACCCCAAACATTTGAATGGTAGTGTTTATTAATTTCCTTCACAAATCATGTCTCATATTTTATCTCAATTTATTAACACTGTTGACACTGTTTGTGTACTTGTACGCACAAGTACACTAAAACTTTATTAGGGGCAAAAAATGTTGGATGCAGTGGAAATGACACCACAACTGAGAAAAGCTGATAATATTTTCATGTAAAAAAAAAAAA